AGAGACATTCTATTGTCACTTACAGCTTAGAGTGTGATCACGATTATGACATTTGCATACCTGGTAAATAAAACCTCTATTTTAAAATAAAATCATGTTTGTTACCAGGGATCCAAGTGCCATTCATATGATTACAGTCTAAGCTGAAAGGGATTGTAGACCATTATGCGAGGTATGGGCATACTAACTTTGCACCAGCTAACACGTGGTCAGTTTGGCATTCAACTAACTAAGAAAAATCCATTTGCAAAGATTCCAGAGGATCACTCTTTTGAGGAAACAATAAACAAGAGGAGCAAAATACCAGGAGGAATTGTTGGAAAAAGCAGAAATGAAGATGCAGTTGGGAGATGGATTGAAATAACAGCTGACCACTCACAGATAACTGAAAACATCGAAAGATATGTTGGCATATCAGATGAATGCAAGTGGCCCCACAAAGAGACAGGACCCTCTCGGATAAAAAACGATGAGAAAGAAGTGAGACAGGTAGTCAAGGTCCTTGCCAGCATGTTGAATCCATTTTCTGAATCAGAGAAGTTAACTTCAATTTCAACAGGGGTAGCAGCAGAAGATAAAACAAAGAAGTTTTTATTAACTACTCAACAGATTGGTGGTCAACTTTGTGAAGAGTTTGTGAATTGTCGACTGATCAAGTCTGCTGAAGCATCAGTTTTTGACATGCTATCGAAACAGAAGCTTCAAACATTCTCAACACAAACAGCTGACCGTTAACTTAAAGTTGCGGGACGAGATTTAATCATCAAGGCAGACCATTCATTTTTCTGCAATTTGGTGTTTCTTGCAAGGTCACGAGAGTTTAACCTATTTGAAACTTTTTTTAGGCCAAATTCCATGGGCAATAGATACACCTCATGGCGTACAGATCACAAAAGTCTAAACTCCTGGAGGATCTCGAGAAAGGTATCCCATACTAGACAACATGGCCCTGGTGATTGTCACTTTTGCCACTATCCAGAAGCTCAAACCTACACCAAACAACAGGAAGCCATCAACCTTCACTGAAGTGGCCCAAT